CCCCCCGCCTCTGCTCTGGGGCCCCCCCAGCCTCAGGCCTCCCTGCCGAGGCCCTCGGCATTAAAGGAGCAGAGCCAGGCTGTGACCTGTGCAGGTTGCTAACCCAGAGAAGCGTGACTGTCTTATGCAGACAGTTTGGGGCTCGTTAGCAACACAGCAATACAAACCAGAACAGGTGGCTGGTGACAGAGGCAACACAGGACAGGTTGCCCCGGCCCACTACGGGGTCGGAGGCAGTGGGAGCAGAGGGTGGCTGGAAGCCAGTCCCTGTACTCTGGGGCGCCCGAAGGGTTGCCAAGGCCTCCTGGGAGAATAACGTCGCAGGGTGCCACGGGATACCCCAAGCTGGAGCTGCCAAACCCCCGCCTCTGGACCGGGGCGCTGACGCCTTGACGACCCCAGAGGTCCTGTCCCCACGGGCTGCAAACGCTGTGCTGTTTGATCCTGGGTGAGGGGTGAGACCAGGAGGTGGCAGAACTCAGAAGAAACTTTGGGAGGAAACTTGAAGTGAGTGATTGTACCCCTGAGTTTATTATGGAGTGAGATCCCGCCCAGGGCCATGGGCTCTGTGTTGCCCCGAAGAAATTATGTTAGAATATTTTATCCCAAGCCAACGTGACCTCATGGTCTCAGTCAGAGATGCCTGGACCCTGCACTGGGGCCTCGCAACAGGCACTTTGCAGGGGGCTCGGAGATGCTGCCCCCCCCCGAACCAGAGGGCTTCTGGGGACAGCCAGGGGCTCCCCTCCCCGGCTTCAAGCAGGGACTCCCTGGCCCCAGTGGGAGGGGACGCAGGACCGCAGCCGGGTGCCTCGTCCCGGCAGTTCTCACTACGGCCACTAGGTGGCAGACCTGGGCCACACGGGACTCCCAGACAGTCCACCCTAGACCGACCAGAGACCAGGAACCCCATTTTCTCCCTGGAGCTCTGGTGTCACGATGGCTGTGGGGAGGGGCCGCGAGGGCAGCCACGGCTGTGGAGGCCCAGGCTGTGTGTGCTGATCTGAGTTAACCAAGGATGCCCTGCTCTCCAGTCCCCTCGGCCGCACCCATCTTCCCATTGAATCTGCAGCAGTTTTCTGGTCTGGCCTTAGGACCCCGACCGAACCCACAGACCTTCCTTCCGGTTTCTTTCCCGGGCTGTGTTTGAGCCACGGCTCATCTTGGGGCCAAAGTCTCTGGCGGGAGCTGGGGAGGGTCTGCGACATTGAAGCCTCAGTTTCCTCATCTCTTGCCCGCCTTGCAAGGTCAGCGGGTGGACCTGAGCGTCCTCACCCCTGCAGTGTCCGGCAGCTGTCATGGCGACCCCGAGCCGCGAGAAGGACGCATCTCCTCGTCCCCATTCCGCAGATGAGGAATCGATGCCCATGGATGAGAACACTGGTCTCTGGTCACCCAGCCGAGCCTGGATGGAGACCCAGACCTGCCCTCCCCCCCCCCCACCTACCCCACACACCCACGTGACCCTTGTCACCCCCTTCAGTGGGCCTGGCCTGGCCGTTTCCCCCTCTGGTGCCCTGTGACCCAAAAGACCCAGGTTTTCTGGGAACTGGTGGCCAACACCTGGACCCAGTGCTTTCCAGTGGCACCCGGAACGGCCCAGGCAGCTCTGATGGCCCGGACCTGCTCAGCCCGTATGGGCTAGAGGGCGAGGCCTGGGAGGAAAAGGCGGGGGCACAGAAGGAGACAATCTGGACCGCTTCTCACCAAGCTTCAGTTCGGCTGTGAAATGTAGGTCAACTCACAGAACTGTAAAGCCGGAGGCAAAGCTATATTTCAAAGAACCTGGCGATGGCAGCGACAATGGTCGCCCTCAGGGCATCCTCACTGCGTGCCCAGCTCTGAGCTAAGTCCCTTCCTTGCACGGTCTTACTGAGTCCTCTCAACAGCCCTGCAGGGTCGGTATTATTATTGTTTACTCTTTATTAAGGTAAAACACACAAAGGACACAGCCTTCAGTGTACGGCTCAGTGACTATTTACAACTGTGGAGCCAGCACCATGGCAGAGGTCATTTCCAGCACTGCTAAAGTCCCCTTCAAGCCCCTCAGTCAACCCCTCCCCGAACATCAACACTATAGGGGCACCTGGCCGGCTGAGTCAGAAGAACATGTGACTCTTGATCTCAGGGTCATGAGTTCAACCCCCCACATTGGATGTAGAGATTACCAAAACAAAACGAAAACTTAAAGAAAGGTAACAGTAGGGGCGCCTGGGTAGCTCAGTCGGTTAAGCGTCCAACTTCAGCTCAGGTCACGATCTCATGGTTCGTGGGTTTGAGCCCCACATCGTGCTCTGTGCTGACAGCTCAGAGCCAGGAGCCTATTTCAGATTCTGTGTCTCCCTCTCTCTCTGATCCTCCCTTGCTCACGCTGTCTCTCTCTCAGAAATAAATAAAACGTTAAAAAAAAGAATTAAAAAAAGGTAACAGTATAAAGTTGGGGGTATGTATGCCCATTTCACGGATGAGTAAACTGGGGCACACAGGGAGGGGCTGTGCACAGCTGCTAATGGGTGGGACCAAGAATAGTCTGTCTCTTACCAACGCATACGGGGATCCATATAAGCCAGAAGGCAGTTATTTCTTCTTCCTCTTCCACTCCCTCTCACCATCCTCCAGTTCCGCCTCCTCCGCATTTTCCTCCACCACTTCCCCTCCCAGCCCGAGGGCTACTTCCTGTCATTTCATAAATTCACCACCAGATGGCGCCAAAGGACTAGATGCAGAATTGCGGCTGGCCCCCAAGGACCTGGGGTGTCAGGGTTTCTGGGCTTTGGCTGGGAGGCAGGGGGAAGTTGCTGGTGGCTGTCCTGGGCCCTGGCCAGCAGACATGGCAGAGGGGACCCCAATCCTGCCCCAGTCCACTGACACCCAGACACACAAAAGGATAGAAATGCAGGCTGGGGCTCGGACTGAGAACACTGGGCTGGGAGCTAAGAAACCCGGTCACAGGCTCTGAGTCACCTACCTGCCCTATCGCGGCGGGTGGTCTCCTCCACCTGTAAGGCCCGCTGGGTCCCGCCTCTGCCTCTGCATTTGTTCTCCCTTCTCTTAGCATCCTCTTCCGGCCATTCAGCCAGACAGCTAAGCAGCTCATAGCCGCCACCCCCCCTTCCCCCTCCCCCACAGGAAAGATTCCCTGATGGCCTGTCAATGCACTGATGACCTCAGCTGTCCCCTGTGCGATGACTCAGTGAGAGGGGGGCTCAACCTGAGGCTGTTGGTGGTTTTCCAACCCTCTCCCTGGGAGCAGCTGGGTTGGAGGGGGCCCCAGCTGGGGTGCTTCACCTTATGCAGGCAAGGGGGGCTGCTGAGAGGCCGGCCCGTGTCTTCCCTCATCTGTGTCCAGCAGCCATGGCCTTCTCAGCCCTGGAAGGTCAGCTTCCTCGAAGAAAGCAGCTCAGGAAGAGCCTTCAGAGCCTGCTGATCACACAATGGCCCACATCACGCAGCACCTTGGTGCTCAAGACCTTGACCCGGTCCCACCTTGGGGCCTCAGCTCAGGACTCCCCAAAAGGCTCTACAGGTGGCCTTCCAGGTCTAAGGACCTGGCATATGCCCTCCCTGGCTGGCACTTTCTCGCCAGCCCCCCTCCTCTGATGGAGAAGACAAGCGGGGGGGGGGGAGCAGGGCTCCTTGTAGCCAACAAGCACGTGTGTGGTGTGGGCAGTGGGGGGAGGGCCAGAAGGAGCTGCCTTCTCAGGCGAGAGTCCTGTGGGGCCCCTGTGTACCCCTGTGGGAACGCACCCGGGCTGCTAAGAGCCCGGTATTTGGAGTCAAACACTCTTGGATTCAAATTTCTTCTCTACCACTCACCTGCGTAACCTTGGCCAAATCCTTAAATTCGTTCGTTCATTCGTTCGTTCGCTCCTTCCTTCCTTCCTTCCTTCTTCCTCCCTCCCTCCCTTCCTTCCTTCCCTCCCTCCCTCCTTCTTTTTTCCCTCTTCCTTCCTTCCTTCTTCCTCCCTCCCTCCCTCCTTCTTCCTTCCTTCTCCCTTCCTTCCTTCTCCCTTCTTTCCCTCCCTCTTTTTTCCTTCTTCTTTCCTTCCTTCTTCCTTCCTTCCCTCCCTCCCTCCATCCTTCCTTCCTTCCTTCCTTCTCCCTTCCTTCCTTTTCCCTTCCTTCTTTCTTCCTTCCTTCCCTCCCTCCCTCCTTCTTTTTTCCTTCCTTCTTCCTTCCTTCCTCCTTCCTTCCTTCCTTCCTTCCTTCCTTCCTTCCTTCCTTCCTTCCTTCCTTCC